TGAAAATTTGATATTCATTTTTCCAATGGTGATATATGATGAACTATCTTTTGAAATTTTCTACATACTTCCTGATTGTCCGGTCCAACTAGAAAGACCCGGTGAACTTTTTGAAGATCTTTTATAACATTGTAATTCCTCTTGATGTATTTGCCTTCTGGTTTTAGTACGAAACAAATAATTTGTATCAGTCTGACCCTTTGTGAACATCCTGACGTCTGATAAATAAGATTCTTCTCAATTTTCATAGAATTTTATAGTTCCTTTCATAAATTATCTACTACCACTCATTTTTAGTAATGAAATGTCGATATCAGTTTCTGACCGCTAGTTTCCTATATATAGAGACTCACTAGCGGCAGTCTTCTCGGTCTTCTTTTGATGCCATCCGTAGTTTTATTAACCAAATATCTTGTGACGATGATAATGACAACTGTCAATCACATCCCTAGAAGTACTGATATCGATTTTCATTGGTAATTAAAAATGAAATGAACCTGTAGTTATAAAGTATACGATAATCTGGGTGACGAAGGCGTGTTTCGTTGATGTGCTCTGGTATGTTGTGTAAGTAGTTATCTATGTCGTGATTTTACCGGTCTTTAAAGATCTTGCCTTCTTGTTAATAATCACAGATATTCGGATGATTTTACTACCAACATATTCCACATGTGTTGTTTTTTGTTGTTGTTTATTAATTATCTGCATAAAACAGAGCAGATGTTAACACATACTCAACTAACCAACGTAAACAGATAAATATCAACTGACCAGTGTCAACAAATAAATATCAACAAACCAGTGTCAACAGATAAATATCAACTGACCAGTGTCAACAGATAAATATCAACTAACAGTGTCAACAGATAAATATCAACAAACCAGTGTCAACAGATAAATATCCACTCACCAGTGTCAACAGATAAATATCAACTCACCAGTGTCAACAGATAAATATCAACAAACCAGTGTCAACAGATAAATATCCAATCACCAGTGTCAACAGATAAATATCAACTCACCAGTGTCAACAGATAAATATCAACTCACCAGTGTCAACAGATAAATATCAGCAAACCAGTGTCAACAGATAAATATCAATAAACCAGTGTCAACAGATAAATATCAACTAACAGTGTCAACAGATAAGTATCCACTGACCAGTGTCAACAGATAAATATCAGCTGACCCGTGTCAACAGATAAATATCAACTCACCAGTGTCACCAGATAAATATCCACTCACCAGTGTCAACAGATAAATATCCACTCACCAGTGTCAACAGATAAATATCAACTACCCAGTGTCAACAGATAAATATCCACTCACCAGTGTCAACAGATAAATATCAACTCACCAGTGTCAACAGATAAATATTAACTCACCAGTGTCAACAGATAAATATCAACTGACCCGTGTCAACAGATAAATATCAACTCACCAGTGTCAACAGATAAATATCAACTAACCAGTGTCAACAGATGAATATCCACTCACCAGTGTCAACAGATAAATATCAACTCACAACAGATAAATATCAACTCACCAGTGTCAACAGATAAATATCCACTCACCAGTGTCAACAGATAAATATCAACTAACCAGTGTCAACAGATAAATATCAACAAACCAGTGTCAACAGATAAATATCAACAAACCAGTGTCAACAGATAAATATCAACTCACCAGTGTCAACAGATAAATATCAACTCACCAGTGTCAACAGATAAATATCAACTGACCCGTGTCAACAGATAAATATCAACTGACCCGTGTCAACAGATAAATATCAACTGACCAGTGTCAACAGATAAATATCAACTGACCCTTGTCAACAGATAAATATCAACTGACCAGTGTCAACAGATAGATATCAACTGACCAGTGTCAACAGATAAATATCAACTGACCAGTGTCAACAGATAACTATCAACTATTTTACTACGTCTGACATAACGTTGAATACTGACTTACACTGTCCTGTATATCCGCAGTTAACGGATATATCGTTGGACGTGTCTCTATGAAATACATAATTTCTGTGTTACAGAGTCGGAACTTTGTGACAATCCTTGTCATAAAGCAATATAACGGATTGATTTACATAGGTTTGCTGACAGTTGGCTCGCTAGTAACTTAAACTTTGGGTGTGACATCACAAAGGGAAATAGATATTTGTCACTGGTCTAAGTGTGAGCTAACTATCAGTGGTATCGATGAACAGAAATATAGCAATATCTCCGAGTTTTTACTGACGCTGGAAGTGTCCAGCTGGGAGTTTTATCACTCAATGGACATATAGCCAGATAATTGTTGGCTGTCGTGGCGTTTTTTTTATTTATTTGGACTACATATTTATGGTTCAATAGTCTCGTGCCATTGTTTATTGATATGTTGATGTTCTTGGCCAACTGTTAAGAGCTTGTTTGGTTTTTTGTGTTATTTTTGGTGAATACCAATGTTCTACAGCCAAACCTAAATCCTTCACTTGATAAAGAACCCGTCTCGCGTCAGTGCCTGATCGACTTCGACACACAACAAAAACCTTAACTTTCCTGTAATATACATCAGTTTGATTACATATTTTATTAACAGAGGAGCAATATTACCCCATTATATGGGCCGTCGATGTAATAACGTGACTTTTATCAGTTCCTATCTTTGTAATACTTTATTTACGGCACAAAACTGTTTCGTTTGCTTTTAACTCTATCGGTGATCGATTGAAAACGATCTATTAAATGTGTAAATGTGTTTTACAGGGTGTCAATAAAAGAAGTTACATGTAGTTAACTGGAAATCGAATTTACATCAATTTATTCAAAATGATTTCAAGAGGGATACATTCCTTCGATATTGTTATCTGTAAACTATTTAAGATTTGTGTGAGAATAATTCAAACTGATGTTTGATATTTGTTATTTGTTAAGCTGTCTACTGTTGAGTTATAGAACCGATCTCTAGTTCTGCTTTCTACCCGTGTTGTATTGAGCTGGGGATTCAATGAACGGGTCTTATGTATAATAGCAATGATATACTAATTTTAGTCGTATTGGACGCCACACATAGAAACATGTACTTAATTCTTAAATCCTCTTCATTTACACTAACGCAACATGTATGGCTACCAGCTTCTTACTGTGTTTGTTTCTATTGCAGGGTTCGAGCGTGGACGGGAAATGACGCACATACCGGAGACCAAATTCAATCAATTAAACGCACCACACTCTACAATTATTGGATTCTGAGATTTTCTACCTTCTTCCTCATCTTACCTGACAGGTGGTATGGTAAATAATTAATTTAACAGTATTACGAAGTGTCGATCTAATTAGTGACCCCGTGTATAGTGACCAAGACGTTAGGTGACATGTCCTAAAGGAACTTAGGACCTATATACGGAAACAGAAGGACATTTGGTTCCTGGTATAGGAAAAGAAATCGGGTACAGGATGATTATAGCATTGTGTTGTGTTAGAGATCCCAACATATGTCGAGTGAACCCGATGGGTGAATGTTGCGCCGGTTTGCTCAGTAGGTGTTAGAGAAATATACAATTTCTTTACGTTTTCTCCAGATAAACAGTTTCAGAATCGGTACCGAAGAGACATATTTAAAGAGGCCACTATTGAAGTGATTCATTTTCTCGCTTTACCGTCGCCTACTCGCCCCATAGGAAGGGCACTATTGAACCGGAAAATACCGTCTCGATCATCGACTTCGGAAAACAGATTAAACCAAGTGTGATACACATTTTCGCTAACTGTAGAGGATTAGAAATAATTACAACAAAGAACCACGGATAGAGAGCGGCATTTCATACTTCTACCTGATATAGTATGTCGCCTTCATAGACATATTTATGTAGTGTGGTGGTATATGGCTCAGTGCAAGCAGGCCGCAGTAAAATGTCCTGATGAAAATATTACATCACGATTTTAACGTGTATTTTGGTGAATATTTTACAGAAAATATTGACGGTGTGTATTTGATTTAAGGCTCGTTAACGAGCCACAAGTGTATTACTGAAACACGTTAATCTGTTGGCGACATGTGGATTAATATTTAAAGCTGGGAACGTATGTACTCGGAGTACGTTCTACGAGGTATTGCCATACACAGTGTTGTTCTGAAAAAGTGACATTAATTTTCACATTTTGCTATAAACAAATGAAATCTTCTGTCAAGGGAGTCTCGATTCGTGCGTTCTTTTGGTGGATGGGATTATTTAACAATTTCGTACGAGTTTAGAACTGGACGTAAAATAACTTGTGAAATGTGAAGCTTGTCTTAATCAGAAAAAATACAACCTCTTATGACCTTCCTAAGGAGAAAGTAAAAGTACTGTAATTTTTCCTTACGTGTCAAAAATGTGCACAATTTTCTCGTTGAGGAATTAAAGGGATACACACGCTTTTGGAAGATACACATTATGGATGTACACTCAAGCGACACTTTTTTCTATCTGTATCTGGAATGTGAGGAGTCCTTGGGAATTATTGGTGCACACCTTAGCCTGTCTGGTGTTCCTGCTGTTTGTGGAGATCAATACTGATGGCTGTCTTCGTGATTCGACTGAGAGAGTGACGAACGTAACCAATTTTACGATACATTATCGACTGTGTTCCATGCACCCCTACAATGGGGAATGTGTTCTCTGTCGTTCATCTATACCTGATGGATCAAAACACCAGTTACCCGTAGTTTACACAAACATAATGGATTAAGATATCGGTGTATTTTTTGTTTATTTGTGGCGCTCATCGATAACCTCTTAAAGCTTGTAAAAGACTTGCTACTTTCTGTGACAGAAATGGTCGTATGTAGATATGATCGGTATCTGTGTGTATTGACCAGCCTCGCACTGAATTTATTGATGACGTGAACCGTAACGTCACGAAGATGCAAAGAACACTGCTGTCCTTCTGTAATAATGTTTACCTACGTCACTTCCGCTCTTAAAAACAATTTCTGACTAACGAAGTGACAAAATATTTAATATGGCGAATTTGGTATTCAATAAAACATTAGCAGCTTTGTCAGACCTTGTCTTGAATAACGACACGTCGGTAATATACACAACGAAATTTAACGCCAGTTTATTGGGCGGAAACAGTTCGACATTTAGCGGAAATGACACACCAGTTAACGAGGGGTACCCTCCTCGTCCGGAATCTCGGTACGAGGTTTGGCAACAAGTACTGATCACGATGGTTCTTGTGGTGCTGACTACGGGAACAGTGATTGGGAACTCTCTCGTATGTATAGCTGTGGGTATCGTGAAACGCCTCCAGACGCCCTCTAACCTGCTCATTCTGTCACTCGCTGTATCCGACCTATTGGTGGCCATTTGTGTGATGCCTTTTAATGCCGCGTATGAGGTGATGTCCTATTGGTCTCTAGGCGAGGTGGTGTGTGATTTATTCACGTCTTTGGATGTTATTCTGTGTACGGCTTCCATTCTAAACTTGTGCATGATTAGTGTGGATCGCTATTTTGTTATTACGCGGCCATTTAAATATGCTATGAAAAGGACCCCTCGCCGAATGGGGTTGATGATCCTCGGCGTGTGGAGCGGATCCATCATTATTTCAATTCCTCCTTTACTGGGGTGGAAAACGGAACGGCCGCCCTGGCAATGTTTAATCAGCCAAGAAATAGGATACCAAATCTATGCAACCCTCGGTGCCTTTTACCTCCCTCTAACTGTTATGTTGGTTGTGTATTTCCGTATTTGGAAGGTATCTTCAAGACTTATGAAATCGGAAAACAAATCCAAATTAGGAAGCATTGACAAAGGTAATGACCAAATATATTTACCTTCTAAAAAGTCATCGAGAAGTAGTGGAATAAGTGAAAATACTATTGTTGGCAACGGGAATCTCAAAAATGGTAATTTTGATGGGGACGATGCATCAATGGAAATGCTCGGACATTCTAACCACTTGAAGGCGAGTAATGGCAAACGGAGATTCACACTTAAATCATTTCTTACAAAGAGTACAAAAGTAGCCTCGTCCTCGAAGGAAGCGAAAGCCACAAAGACGCTAGGTGTAATCATGGGTGGCTTTGTGGCCTGTTGGCTGCCTTTCTTCATCCTGGCGGTGATCCGGCCTTTCTGTGGCGCCCAGGAGCAGTACTGTTCTATTCCACCATGGTTAGCTAGTGTGTTTGGGTGGCTAGGGTATTTTAACTCATTTCTAAACCCTTTAATCTACGCACGTTTTAACAGAGAGTTTAGAACTCCATTTAAAGAAATTTTATGCTTTCGATGTAAGGGTATCAATTCTCGTATACGTTCGGAAAGTTATGTGGAACAATATGGACCCGATCCAACCTTCCGGGATAGTTTACGGCCGCCCACGGAAACGATTGTGAGGTATAACAGTCAAGGACACACTATTGTGCATGTCGGGAACGGTAATGCGTGTCCGGAAGAGAGTAAGCTGTAACGAATCTGAGTGTAACAATACTTACATGGGAAGTGAAAGTAACGCCATTAAATGGCAATTGCGAATGTGCCAATTCTTCTTAATCTAACTGCATATATTGGATACTTCCTACTGACATTGAGTGAGGTATCTTTTTTTGTAATCACGTGGAAAAGCAATACGACTGGCAAGGATATATTAAATATGTCTTTGTGATGTCATTGACATTCGACGTCATACATGACGTCACTTTTGACGTCATAAATGGCCCCGTTGAGAGTGTTGTATATAAACCGTATATTGTAATGCCTTAAATTGCCTGAAAATGGGTGACCTGCACTGTATGTATGTGCTTTATTTCATTATCTACTGTTGCCATGATTAATATGCTGTGATAGATTAAATGGATGTCTTCTATTATGTGACGAGCACAAAAACAAGCATAACATTTTATTATTAATGTGTAGCAATTCTGTGAACCAAATTTAATAAAAATATATTGATTCTATTTGTACTACGTTTTGCTACTGTTAACCACTGGAAGGTGGAAATCAGATTAAATAGTTACATAACCGAAGACACCCTTTGTTTCCCATCAATAATATTGATAGTTTTTTGTTGTTACACTGTTACGCCAGAGTTATTTCCCTTTGTCATGTTCTCTAGTGTTTAGGAGACGGTGACTCCATGAAACGTCATCATATCGTTTGTGTTAAAATCATTATATTGAAATAATATCTTCATTTTAGAATGTTGCTAGTTTCAGCCTGAGACGTGCTAGAAATGCTTCCATTGTGACATGTTTTACAGCAAATCATTAAAGATTAAGACAAATTAAATTCGGGATGATAATTATTAGTTTCAATGTCTTTCATTGCCAAAGATACAGTTTCATATCATTTTATTGAAATTTGTCCACTTTTTTCAATGAGGTTGATGTTAAGTTGATAAGGTTTTTTCTGTAAATACTTGAAGAAAGATTTTTTTTAATCATTCCTAAACACCGATTTTTTAAAACGAACAATCGTTTGACTTTTTTTTTAATGTTTGAAACGTATCCGAAACCCTACAGACGATTGGACTGTTGTGTTGCTGTAGATCATAAAAGTCACACGTATGTAACACAATCCGAAAGTTAGTACATTGTTGTGAGGGATGATCCTGAAGATGTCCCGAACAGCAAATTAGCATAATAATGATGCATAATTACTTTACCATGATCTGATATTAGTTAATCATTATTGAAATCTACATACATATTTTTAACAAACAATCCATCAGTGCATTCGAGAAATGTGATATTTAGCATAGCTAGATTAAGGCTGTCCATCACATGCTAATACCTTATTGAGATTATCCGTATCAAGTATTAAGTATTTAAATAGTTCTAATCCGTTCAAAACAACTTGTATACGTATTACCAGTTATCGCACAAAACATTATAAATATATACAGTTGTACCGTGTGATCTCGAACTCTCGAAGACCACATTTAATTCGAAGCATTTCGTCGGTCCCTGCATAACTGTATATTCGGTTATCTCGAAGTTTCCCCATTACCCGCTGGGTTTGAGATAACAAGGTTCGACTGTATGTTTGATTACGTTTCTGTAATGAACCAGACGTAAGACTAAAATTTGACCTGGCAGGATTTAAGTACTAAAAAGAAACTTAAGTTTAAAAAAAACATCCAGGTCACAGAGATCATATTCACTTTAACTTTCTGGGATTCCACTTGTCAGGAAACTGTCCCCACGTCTTTCAAGACGTTTTCGGAATATACATTATCATATTTCTCTAGAGGAACTTGACACGAACTCCCGGCCCACGGTCCATAAATATGTATTGAAGTAAAAAAATGTTTTAACTTTCAAGAAGGGAAAGCTTTACGTATTTCTTATTGTGTGTTTTAATTCTATCGTAGATCTTAGTAAGACTTATATCACTTTTAAGAGAAGTGTTTTGTTTTTCCGATGAGTGATTCAGTAATGAACGAAATTTACCAAGTATTGACCAATTAATGATCTGACGAATTCAGAAATATGATGTAGAAATGACTGACAGTGTAGATATATATATATTAATATTTTGAAAATCTAATACTTTGAATGAATTTATGGCAATTTCATATCAAATATCATTAATTCATTTAAACTGTCATATTTTCAAAATATTACAATGGAGAAGAAAAAATAAATGTACATATATATGGACTGTTGGGAAGTTTTTGTCAAGTCCCGGTGGTCATATCTCATCAAAATCAGACAAGTGCTATAAAAGAGAGAGTAAAAAGAATGTGCTTTATGTGACATAGATTTGGTGCCGTGACCAGTAACTCCGGAATTATATCAGGTCAGCCAGTTTTTCAAGTGCAAATTAAAATTGCCTTGTGGTGGTGATCGTTTTTTAAAAGTTGGTGTTTATCACTGTTTAGGTATTTTTAAAAAGAGTTTGGTTTGAAATAGACCAGTGGTAAAGTACGTGCAAATAACCTAATTTTTCAGGACTTTTTTTATTATTTAAGTCGGTTCTGAAGCCCTAACACTGCTTTAGTAGAGGGGAAAACTACAGCTTTCACTCCAATATCAGGCTGACAATACAATTATCATTTCACATTCTAAAACATGATCCCATAATGTTTTTTTTCAACTCATAGAAAATCTTATCTTTCTTAATTGCATACTATATGTAGCTGACGTTGTAGCGACATCCTGGGAAATGATTAGCTTACCACTGTATGGCTCTCCTTTAGGTGTGACAATTATGAACATACTGCAATTACGATAGAATACCATACTTTGTGTAATGGCACGGACCTGTTCAAGCAGCGTTGACAGGATATTGAGTGTGCCGGCATGTATTTAATTTAGCAATGCAGACAAATCGATAGTTGAATGACCATTGGTCAGCTTTGTTACGGAAACTTTCGAATGATAATGGCAGTACAATTTACGACACAACAGGACCTGTATATTACAGAGGAGTCAGATTTTCAAAAAGAGTCGACAAAACATGTTAGATTTGTATTTACTCGTGTGGCTACTGAAGACCCGGACAAGTATAACGTGTTGTTTTGTTTTTATCACAAAAAAAATCTGGATTTTAAATTTTAAATCCAAGTTGCCAAAACAGAATCTATAATTTAAGCAATACGATTTTTTAATGTTGTTTTCCATGTTTTTTATGCTCAAGTTTATTTTATCTAAAGACCCGCCTCTTCTGTTTTCACTGTAATGATTTATAAACAACAGAATCTTTTGTCTGTTTCTGTTTTCCACTGATATATTTACCCTGGCATAATCGTTTCATTTAAATGATATTTCAGAAATATACTATAGTAAAATGTTAGGGAAAACTGAATGCCAGTTTCAGATGAAGGCTTTGTGATGAACCTACAGCGTATCATCTGACCAAGATTTATTTTCATAATGAATGTGTAATATAAGAAATATGTCACAGATAGTCCATCATTTTCATCTGTACAGTGTTAGGCTGTCGGGTCTCATCAAGGGTTTCATTCACAGCACTGTTTTAACTTTCATATTGTATCCCATAATTCAAAAAGTAAATAAAATGTTGGTCATGAAAAGTGTTCTGTTTTTTTAATCACCCTATATCATCGTGTCATTGTAACAACCTCCATGTCTTCAGGAGATAATGTTGACCTGTAGATCTAGGATCCCTGTGCAGCAGAGATAATGTTGACCTGTAGACCCAGGATTCCTGTGTAACAGAGATAATGTTGACCTGTAGATCTGGGATTACTGTGTAACAGAGATAATGTTGACCTGTAGACCAAGGATTCCTGTGTAACAGAGATAATGTTGACCTGTAGATCTGGGATTACTGTGTAACAGAGATAATGTTGACCTGTAGACCAAGGATTCCTGTGTAACAGAGATAATGTTGACCTGTAGACCCAGGATTCCTGTGTAACAGAGATAATGTTGACCTGTAGATCCAGGATCCCTGTGCAACAGAGATAATGTTGACCTGTAGATCTAGGATCCCTGTGTAACAGAGATAATGTTGACCTGTAGACCCAGGATTCCTGTGTAACAGAGATAATGTTGACCTGTAGACCCAGGATTCCTGTGTAACAGAGATAATGTTGACCTGTAGATATAGGATCCCTGTGTAACAGAGATAATGTTGACCTGTAGACCCAGGATTCCCGTGTAACAGAGATAATGTTGACCTGTAGATCTGGGATTACTGTGTAACAGAGATAATGTTGACCTGTAGATCTAGGATCCCTTTGTGACAGAGATAATGTTGACCTGTAGACCCTGGATTCTTGGATTCTAGGATTATAGCACAGCCGGAAAAGTTGGTCGATTCCTTACCATCTCGTACACTACGTATCGTGCCACGGACGGCTAGGGGAAAGGCGAGTGCGTTACCACTGCGCCACCCAACCAATAGAACTATAGTCTATCACGGCCATTTATGTTACCTCTACATATTCAAACAGATCGCTACAATAAATCTATTTCAGACGATAGACTATGTAGATATTGTAAACCTAATTATGTATCACGTGAGAATCTATTCATAGGTGAGTGAGAATTTTATTCTGAAACTCGTATTTTACTTTTTGAAAAAGCCATCGATAGATATCTGACATAATTTTTCAGATAGACTGCACGTGTGATAAAGAAATTCTAAATAAGAAGTATTTTATGGATAAACTTAACCAGCAAACCGGATGTAGAACTATTGACTATCGTGTGTTTCAACATTTTTTTACCTGGTGGTATGTTCTGAATAACATAAAAGATTTGTGTCAGTTTTTAGAAATCATGAAATTTTATGTAAATTAGGTCATGTGTTAAAACGTTTTCTGGGCACTGATGTGTTTCACAAGTGCAAAAACTGGAAGATAAGAAACGCATAGCGCTAAATATAACCACATTACATATTCAATTAGAAAGATAAACATCTAGATCTGATAATATGACGCCTCATAAACCTTTACTGAACTGATATAAAAATTCATATAATGCATAAGGTAGTGAAAGT